TTGAAACGTTTAGTCATTTATGTTGACTTTGCCCCAGAATGTTATGTCATGAAAGAATGGGATGTTGTCTTTAACAAACCTAAAGCGACAATAGTTTCAGAACAAGAATGTAGACAGAAACTTAAGAAAATAAAAGTCGTACAAGTTGGCATGAAGATGTTAGATGCTTGGGATATCTTATTGTCAAAGTTAGAAGATTTTTCAGTTCGAGGTATAAAGTTCTATACACCTTCTCCAAACTTCTATTCTATCTTCACTGGATATAAATACGAACAAGTAGAATGGAAAGAAAATATTATAGAAGCTTGGTTAGACCATGTCAAAGAAATTATATGCAATGGAAACGAAAAGGTTTATGAGTATATCTTATGTTGGTTTGCAAACATCTTACAACATCCAAGTGCTAAAAATGAAACTGCTCTCATTATAATTGGAAAACAAGGAACAGGTAAGAACACATTCTTTACAGATATTTTGTGCAAACTGTTAGAGGGCTATTCGAACCCGAATATGACAAACTTAGAAAACATCTGTGGCAAGTTTAACTCCTCAATAGAGAATATGAAACTTATAGTTTGAATGAACTTCAAAGTATAGATACAACAAAAGTTTTAAACTCAGATGCTTTGAAGAGTCTTATAACAGACAAAGTTGGAGTTGTTGAAAGAAAGTATAAAGACCAAAGAGTTTGTGAAATGTTGCAAACTTCATTATGGTTTCAAACAATACTGTTCCGATGAAGTTAGAAAGTTCTGACAGAAGATATGTAGTGTCAGAACGTCAGATTCTCATATGCAAGATACAGAATATTTGACGACTTAGCAGAAACTTTGACATCTGACTTTTACAACCACTTGTTCTCATATTTTATGACATTAGATATTTCAAAGTTCAATCCAAGACAAATTCCACATACCGAAGAGAGACAAACATTGTTAGAAGCAAACAAGAGTGTATATGAACTGTTCATAGATGAAACTGACTTTGAGTGTTTAGATGAAAGGTCATTGTACGATTCGTATAAACAATATTGTCAAGAATATGGTTATATGACAGCGTCTAAACGAACATTCTTGGCAAATGTCAAAAGTCTTTTAGACGTACAGAATGGTGTATATACAAAGAAAAATTTTTCTGAGTAAATTTTAAAAAAAAATATTTTTTTATCCGATAGAAAAGATGGCAAAATTCATCTCAGTAAATAAGTACATGTCAGGACTTAAAGAAGAACTAGACCCATTCACATATTTGAATGTTTACTTCTACCATTTTGAAAAGTCTTCATTCAGCAAAGTTTGGAACATCGAACCAGTTAAGTTTGCTATTGTGACTAAAAATGGTGCGAAATTTGAAGACTTAGACATAGAAGGTTTGTTAGCAGTCAAAGAAAGTTTTGACAGAAGGTTTTCAAACCTTAAAGAAGGCAAAGCATACAAACTTGTTATACCTTATGAACCAAAGAAAGCAGACGACTATGAATATTATGAGTCTAAGATAGTTGAAGTTCAAGGTAAATTGGGTAAAAAGATTTTAGAGTCTAAGCCAGTGTTTGCTCCTAAAGAGGAAGAGAACATTGACATTGACCCAGAAATGTTCTAAAAATAAAATTTTATTTTTACATGTCAAATTTCTTTTTCTCTGGAACTGGTTCAGGTTCTTTCTTCTCTTCTTCTACTTTCTTTTCTTTCTTTTCTTTCTTCTTCTTTTCTGGTGGAGTTATGTCAAATTTCTCCGAACCATATTTATGTAAAAGTTCTTTGTCCTTTAATAGCTCATCTATTCTGTTTTCTATTTCATCTTCAAGAACAGCGCATGTGTCTTCTTTGCATTCTAAGAACTTTTGTTGGACTTCATCTTTCCAATCGGCGTCATCTCTGTCAACAAGTCTGTCATTGACAAATTTTAAGACTGCTCTGCTTAATGTTTTATGGTTCTTGTCATATTCCCAGAAACAGAACTTTAGAACAAATTCACCTTTCTTGTTTACACTATGTAAGATTTTATGGTCGACAGATGTTTTGCTGTCGAAAAGCTTGTCTCGAATATAGATAGCGAAATCGCTAGACATTTTCTAAAAGATAAAAATTTTAATTTTTCTAAAAATATGTTAGAAAAAAAGTTTGCTGACATTGACAAGAAATTTGAGAATGTTTTAAACAAGAACAAGAGGAAGTTAGAAAATGCTCAGATAAAACCTATACATGACAAGTTCTTATTTGCTCAGAATGGTATAACAGGTCTAATTGCACCACCTGGGTCGGGCAAGACTTTCACTTATCTTAAAATGGCTGCACAACAACAAGAACTAGATGAGAAGAACCCATTCTATGAGTTAGTTGTCATTTGTAGTACTTCTGGTCAATTTGACCAAACCGTCAATTCGTTCAAAGATATTATAAAGAAGTCTAAGTTAGTATGTATAAAGGATACTGAGTTGTTAGATTGGATAAAGAAGTACCAAAGAAGAGTTTTGAAGTATAATGCTATAAATGAGTATATAAATTCGAAGTTTAAAGACCCAAATGAGGAAATGCAGAGAATATTAGAGAAGAAACACTTCAGAAACAAACAGAAAGAGATAGAATACATTTCGAAGAAATTGCAATCTTACGATTGGAAAACGTACCCTCATAGGTGTCTTCTTATCTTAGATGACTTTGCTTCTCATCCTTTGTTAAAGAATAGAGAACAAGATATGTGTCGAATTCTTAAGAAGCTCAGACACTTTAACATCTCAGTTGTCATTTGTGTACAGACAGCCAAGAGTTTAAGTAAGGATGTAAAGAGAATACTTACTGACATTGTACTTTTCCCCGGATTGTCCGAAGACGATTTCATGGAACTTATGAAAGAGTCCATGGCAGGTAAGTTTGACAGACATGAACTCTGGGAGAAGTATAAAGTCATACAAGACCCTCATACTTCTTTCAGAATTCATATCTACGCAAACAAAGTTCAAATTGTAAAAAGTCAAGCTTGAAAAATAAATGGTTCATCTACCCTACTTGTTTGAAGTTGTCAAAATACTCTGTTATTTTTCACGATTTTCATGAGTTTTAGGCGACCCAGATAAAAGTCGGTCTCGCTGTTCTTCACGATTTTCATAGAGTTTTGGCGACTAAGGTTTTTTACCTACTCGCTGTTCTTCACTGTTTTCATACGGAATCTCTTCTCTCGGTTTTCCGAGGGAAGCAAGCATATGCCATTTTTTAACGAAGTGAAGGTTTGCACTTCGTCAAATTTTATAAAAAATTAGCGTTATTTTTACATTATGACACGAAGTGAAGATTTGCACTTCGTCAAATTTTATAAAAAATTAGCGTTATTTTTACATTATGACACGAAGTGAAGATTTGCACTTCGTCAAAAATAACAGTTATATAATGAAAAAGTGTCATTTTTTTCATGTCAGAAGACTCGAAGGTGCAACACTTCCAAAATACCGACGAACTCAGAAGAGCAGCATGGCAGTATGTTCTTGACAACTTCTTTGAGTTCTCCAGGTACACCTTGGAAAATGCTGAAGAACTCCGACACAGAGAATTTGGAGAAATTGCGCTCCAATACTACCTTGACAAACAAAGGGTAAAATAAGACTAAAAACTTAACGTTTAAAAAGTGACATTTTTAATGAGCTCCGAGTCACCGAGAAAACTTGGTCAGATGTTAGCAGCTTACTTCCCTGCGGAGGATGGAAGCGTTACATACATAAGGTTCAAAAACAACGAACCTGGAATTGCGTACCAAATTCGCAATTACATGACCATGGAAGAGTACGAAAGGTTCCTACAAGAGAAACCAGCTCTAAACAACTCAGAAAAGAAAGAATAAAAAGTTTAACTCGTAATTGTTTATTTTTTTTTACTTGTATGGGCAAGCTGCAAGAATGAAGTCGACTATCTCAGTCTTTGTCTTGACCAGTTGGACTGCTCTTGTAAGCACGTCTGTTTTGCGGTCTCCAGCTGGTGTCTGACCTTCGTAATTGCGCATGTTCTTGAGAGCTCCAACTGTAAATGATTGTAGGATGAAGAGTCTCTCAGACTGCTTGAGGTAGTCTTCACGGTCACGAACCGAATCTGTGGTACGAGTCGAATCGGTCGATTTGAGGGAAGAGACTGAAAGCCTGTCGTCTTCCATTGGGGCAGTAGCATACTCTTTGCGTAAGCGGTTCAGACCTTCCTCGAACTCTTGGTCTCTCTTGGATTGAGATTGGAATTGTGGGACAGGGTTTTGCATAAACATCCAAGGGTTGGGGCAGTAAGGCATAGGCTGAGGAGGGTAGTTCGGGAAGCCTTGTGGTGGGTAGTAACCTTGAGGTGGAAATTGGTAGTAATTCGGAGGTACTTGCTGGAACTGAGGTGCAGGGGCTGGTGCTTTAGGTTCCTCTGGTTTGGGAATGGATTGGGTTGGTGGTACGTCGGACATTGTCTTGAAACAGTACAAATATTGTTCTGAAGCAGTGCAAGTCTTGTTCTGAAAAAGTACAAGTATTGTTCTGAAGCAGTGCAAGTATTGTTCTGAAAAAGTACAAGTATTGTTCTGAAGCAGTGCAAGTATTGTTCTGAAAAAGTACAAGTATTGTTCTGAAAAAGTACAAGTATTGTTCTGAAACAGAAAATTTTTCTCACAAATTGAGAGCTTTTACGGGAAATTTGTTCTGAAAAAGTACAAGTATTGTTCTGAAGCAGTGCAAGTATTGTTCTGAAAAAGTACAAGTATTGTTCTGAAGCAGTGCAAGTATTGTTCTGAAAAAGTACAAGTATTGTTCTGAAAAAGTACAAGTATTGTTCTGAAGCAGTGCAATGGACAACATCGAGCCATTAGATGAGGCAATTTACCTTATAGAGATAAATGAAGTTGTTAAGCAGTACTTGGGCAAGGACAAAGCCAACAAGTCCCTCGGCTTCTGGTTGTCTGGAAGAGGTGCGCTGAAAATCGAAATTGAAACCGGAATTCCAATTCAAATACCAGAAAACACTCCTGTAGACGACATAAAGGAGATGAAGAAAGAAGCTCTTCTCAAGTTCTTTGCAAAGCGCCCATGGATACAACTTCCAAACAGAGAGAGTCCAATTCCACGAATTATACAAATTCTCAGAGCACTGTTCCACTTCTCAGGACGGCCGTTCTACATAACCTGTGAAGGCGACATCCAACCAGTTCTAAACCTTAACGTTTAGAGTAAAAACATTTTTTTCATTTTTTGAATGAAGCAAGTTAAATTCGTCCCACACCAATCTCAATGGACCGATGAAGAGTTTCAAGCCATAGTTGAAGACGTTGAGAACGACATAGACGGCGAACTTGAAGGAGCTCAAATCACAATTGCAACCAAAATTGCAGGAGTCAAGGAACAGATAGCTCCACTTAAAGCTACCAAAGCTACTCTTGACCTCATGGATAGTTACCGTTTAGATGTCAAGAGTGGAATAAGACAATTAAAATTAAAACTTCTAAACTACGAAGCTATACTCCAAAAGTTAGCAGAAATGAGAAGACTTTACCAGAGCTACTTACATGTAAGGGACTTACCTTCAAGCAGTCCGACCAAAGATGAATTTGTTGACATTGTCCCAATTTTGTCCGAAAGTCAGCTCAGATGTTTCGAACTGCTCCCAACATATCCGGAATATGAACGTTTGCCTGAACTCTTTCGGTTCCTCAAAAAACGTTTTTTGGTTCTCATGTTCGAAACTTTTATCGGAAGAGACAACAAACGTTCAGAAGAAGAGCAAGATATTATTTTAAACTTGTTGTATGACATAACTGTCATAACAAGCTTTTTGAAGTAAAACCGCCATTCTCAAACCACTTCATTTTTTCGATGTCCGAACAAGCACCGAAGCCAAACTCAATGGCAGATGTCCTTTCAAGGTTGCCAGACAAGCGCCCAGTTCAAATTCAAATTGCCCAATTGAACGCTCATCTGACAAACTCCATTAAGACTCTCCAAAATAGTCTTATGTTAGAGATAACCAATCTCAAAGCCAATGTCCTCACGAACCAAGCTTCCAATGAGAAAGTCCTGTACGATTTCGCGGAAACCTTGCGCCAATACAACATAGAGAACCAAAACCTTGCCCGACTCATCTACCGTTTCTTCGAAGAGATAGACGCCATCTGGAAGGTACTCGGAAAGGACAGAACATGCAACACCGTACTTCGTGAACACAGAATTGCCGAAGGTATTATCAAAGAAGAGGAAGAAGAGGAAGAAGAGGAGAGAGAAGAAGAGAAGAAGAGAAACACAAAGAGAGGAAGTTTGGGCAACCCTTGTTGCCGATGACGCTTACGAAATTTCCCAACCCTACCCATACAAATCCGCAACAGGAGACCGGCAAGGTTCTTACCCCAGTCCTCAACAACTTGGGACACTTGAACCTTAACCTTCGGAATCGCGGTTCAATTTCCATGGGCAAGCTTGTCGCAATTCAATGGGTTCCAAATCCAGACAAGAAGACGAGGGTCAGACACATTGACGGTGACAAGCTCAACAACCGTAAGGAGAACCTCGAGTGGTTCTAAGAGTAAAAAAATTTTATTTTAGGGGGAAACCCCAAGTAAATTTAGGTGTTTATTTGGATAAGTATGTTAAATTAAGGGTAATTTGCAAAATTAGTTCCCGACCTTTGAATTGGGCTCTTTCGTTATCCCAGTTGCGTAGGAGGTCGTCCCAGAGGAGTTGGTAGAATTGCCAATCCAAGGACGATTTGTCCTCCCAGGCATTGAGGATGTACTGCTCGTAGAGTTTCATGACCTCTGCCTTGCACCAGACACCCTCTCCCTTGGAACGTAAGGCTTCTTCGAAGTGCTCGAATGCGATTGGCTGCTTGACCATCCGAAATGACACTTTTTGTCCGTTTGGTCAATGTTTGTGTCTCGTGCCATAGTCGACGAAAATACAGACAAACAGGTTATATATGAGTTTGAGACCAAGAATGGTGTAACTCGACCTGTCCGATTCAAAGACTCCGAGGGCGACCATGAAATTAAACGGAAATTAGCTAGGAAGGAATATAAAATGGACTGGTTGCCACCACCTCCACCTCCACCACCTTTACCTGTTCCTCAAGTAAATAAGCCTTTCCCGTTCCCAAGAATTCCCACATTTTAATTCAAATTCGAATAAAAATTTTTTATTTCATGCAATGTTTTATTTCTGTGCCGTCTTCAAGTATGCCCCAGTACTTACGCTTGGAGAGGACATGAACTTCGGTGAAAATTTTGTCCAATTTGAATTGACCCATCTTTTCACCGACCATGCCCATTTCAATGAGTTTGTTGTACCTTCTTCGTTCGTCATGAGTGCGTCAATGTTCTCATAGTAAACCTTCACTTTGGATTTGACTTCGGAGAAGAATTTGTTGTAGTTGTCAAGGACTGCCTTTGCGAACTGAGGGTAAGACCAATGTTCGACAATAGGTTTTAATGTGGTTACTAAGCCACTTTGACCTTGAGTGAATTCGTACTTCAAAACAAAAGGAGAAAACCTTTCAACAAAGTTGTCGACCTTCTCATAATGTTTACTCTTCATCTCTTGAGGTTTCTTAATGGAATATCCCCATGTCGAATTCATAAGCAATTTGAGTGTCATTGCAAGTTTGGGGTTTGAAGCTTTCCTAATATCATACAGTTGTTGTATGACTTTTCCAACTGTATAGTTCCTTCCCGGGAACTCACCATCTTCGTTTGGAATTCCAGTCGGAATATATTGGACAAACCTCATGTATGCAGCGTTAAGGTCGACATAGTATATCTTTTCATCTGAGTCGAACTTGTCGCAACCAATTGGTCCAGTTTGTGGAAATTCAAGTGAGTCTCTTATCTTCTGAGAAACTTCTCCTGTTATCTCATAAACATCGTCGAAGCAACCTGTTTCATATAAAACCTTCTGACCTAACTCAGATGCTCTCCAATACAATTTGACGTCAATTGGATGTCTCAATGGAAGTTTGTTTATAGCATCTTGAAGTTCTTGCAACCTCATTGGAAGTTCTTCTGGTTCAGGTTGGTATCCGAACAATCCAACTCCTTGTGGAATTGTGTACTTCTTTTGTACTAGAACTTTGTCTGGAACAACTTTTGGTCTTGCTAACAGTGAAAAGTTTGTTTCGTCTTTTGGTACAAAAGTTTCTGTCAGCTTGTCATCTGGAATTGGTTCCAACAAACCTTTCTCGAAAAGAATGTTTACAGCTCTGACAATGTTGCACTTGCCTTTTCCGAACAATGGGTTTGTAAGACTTTCGTTCAACATGAAGTGGTTGTGGACAATTACAATCTTCAACCATGGTAAGTCTTTGTCAACAACATAGTCGTCATGTGAAGAACCTTTAGCTGTAGGTATGTTGACTCGGATATTGACATTTGCCAACGGTGCAATTTTTGCCAATTGACCTCTGAGAATGTACCTTGTCTTCACACATGACTCAAGATACTTCATCTTCTCATCTGTAACAAGACCAGAGTTCCTGAGACATGTAAGAATGCAAGGTTCATTGACAATTGTTTCAATTGAATTGTAAATTCCATACCTTGTCAAGTCAATGTCAGACTTATTTATGAACGGGAAGTATCCAGCATGTTGTCTGACTGCTTGAGGGTTAGGTTGGTACCATTCGAACTTGACACTTGCAATTCCTTCAATTGCATTCAAAATGTCTGAGTCGGAGTCAACCATTTGTTCTCTCTTTGTAGTCTTGAAAGCGTCAAGAAGTTTTGCAGCTGTTTGTTCATTGCCATTTGCATAGTAAATGTGACCATCCAAATCTGTTATGGTCAATCTGAGATTGTGTCCTTTCTTATTTCCGTCTTGAATTGCAGCAAGTACACCCATGAAGCCTTCTTTGTTCTTTCCTTCGTCAAAGTTTACTGTAAAGGTTCGACCAGATGTAATTTGACTTCTAACTTCACGATACTTTTCATATGCATATCTTGTTCTTTCCATGGGAGCATGACCATCCTCTGCACTACCTTTTTTCCTTCTCAAAGGATGCAATTGTTCGTCATGTTTCCAGTAGAATCTGGCAAAGCCGTCGTGTCCTTCAACTTGAGGTTCACTAACATCGAAAGGCATGTCCATAAGACGTTCTTCTTCTAACCTCTCTAGTCTGTTTGGATAATTTGCACGTGCTGTTTCCAAATCCATTTCGTAGCGAAGACCAGCCAGTTTGTCATAGACTTTTATGGGTCTTCCCTTCCTATATTTAAACTTCTTCGAAACTCTCCAACCATATCTTTGCAACTCTGCTTTTATTCTAGCAGATTTTCTATCCATTCTATATGGGGGCATTTTTATAAAAATAAAAAAATATTTTTTTCTTTACTTTACATAACCGCCTGCTGCCATAAGTCTTTGACGCCAACCCATACCAGCTAATGAAGGTTGACTTGGTTTAGTTTCCAAACTAAACTTTGGTTTTGGTTTATCTTCAGTTTTTGGTTTTTCTTCTTCTATCGGTTTTTCGTCACTTTTCGGTTCTCTGACTTTACTTCACTTGCAGGAACAGTTGTGTCGTCAACATCTTCATAAATATCATATGCCATTTGTTTTTGTTTTCCTTTCAACTTTTTGTGTTTGTTGTAAAGTTTAGAATATTTCGACTCTAAGTCAATGAGATGTTCTATAATGAACTGTTGGTCAGTGAAGTAAACTTTTCCATCTGTTGTCTCGAAAGCTCCTTCAGACTTCAATATTTTATTTGTGAGAGTCTGTTTCTTTTTTGAGATACTAGCCGTTCCATTTTTATGAAAAGTGACTTTGTAGTTAGGGTTTGTATTTCCAGACCTGGCACTTTCTATTATTGAATTTTTCTCTTCATCTGTAAGTTCTTTGACAGGTTTTGACAATGGTTCTGAACTTTTTGTTTGTGGTGTCAAATCTACCGTTTCAACTTCTTCGGTCATTTCATCTCAGTAAAAAATTTTAGTTTGGTTTGTTTTCAACTGGTTGTTTAGGTTTTTTAAGTCGGTCTAAAACTTCCTGAGGTATAGGAAGAACTTGACAAACACGTTGTGTAACTGCTGGAAGCCGACAAATCCATCTTGAACCCATTTGTCTCAATGCTGTATTGTTCATTTCATCTCAGTAAAAAACTTTACATTCCCCACGTTTGAGGCGGTTGAGGTTGGTTATTGTTTACCCATTGTTGTGCATGGTTATATCCTCTGTTAAAGAATCTTT